TATTTATTTATTATTTTATTTGAGTGTTTTGCCTTCCTGTCTCTAAGTGTACCATGTGTGTGAAAAACCACAGAGACAGAAGAGGGCATCATATACCCTGGAACTGAAGTTATGGATGGTAGTTAGCGGCCATGTGGATGCTGGGAACCAAACCCAGGTCTTCTGGAAGCCAGAGGACCAGGGCTCTTAAGTGCTGAGCCATCTCTCCAAACCCCAGGAAATGGAAAATTTTAAACCCTAGGGAAATGCAGGGCACAGTATTACTAGCTAGAATCACTATAATAAGATAATCAAAAGTGTTGGCAAGGATATGGGGAAGTTGGACTGTGCACGCATAATAACAGGATTATATAACTATTCAGTTTGGAAAGCAATTTGTTGCTCAAAATGTTAAAATGGAGTTACCATGTAACATAAAAATTTCCTCTTAAATACATATCAAGAGGAACGAGAGTATATGTTCATGAAAAAACTACAAATAACCATAGCAGCATTTTTCATAATAACTGAAATGTAGAAATAATGTCCATCAGTCTCATAAATTGATAATCATTCTGTTCAGTGGTGGAATGATAAGGAATTGGTTAGATCTTTTCTGTGTTCTGTTTCATGACTTACTATTGGAATTTTGAAAGGAGGGGTCTAGAGAGAGATTGCTTAGTGGTTAAAGTATGTACCACTGATCTTGTAGAGGACCTGAGTTCATTTCACAGCATCCATGTCAGGGGGCTCACAAATCTTCCAGCTCCAGGAGATCCAATGTTTACTTCTAGATTCTGCAAGCAGTACATTTACTCCATAGATAGATAGATAGACAGACAGACAGACAGACAGACAGACAGACAGACAGACAGATAGATAGATAGATAGATAGATAGATAGATAGATAATTTAATTACCTACGGGGTACAGTGGGTGGATGTACAGATAGGAAGGAGATCTAAAATATCTAAATAATTAAAAATAACAAAAAATCTTTAATTTTTTTTAAAAATTGAAAGGAGAATAGTGAGGAAGTGTGGGGTCTCTCCCTCCCCTCGTGGTCGTTGGCCACTGATCCACAAGAACAAAGGGAGCAAAAGCGATGAACGGGGTCAGGACGGTCAATGAGCACTGACAGAAGAAAGAAAGCCCTTCCTTCCAGGGAGGCAGATTCAGTGATACAGCTCCAGACTCAGTGAAACAGCTCCAGATTCAGTGATACCGCTCCGTTTATTCAGTGGGGGTCAGGGAAAATATAGTGTGGAGGCAGCAGCCAAAGCTTCAGCTGATAGGTGCTCATAGTATGCTTTATTTACATGTGGTAGCGGGATCCTATCATCTGGCTATGGGGCAATGCCTAATTATCATATAGAAAAAACCTGGGGGCAGTTTTTATTGCCGGTAACTATGCCAAAGGTCATGTTCTGAATAAGGTCAGGCATCCCTGCTTCGAGGCACTTTCCAGGTAAGTCAGGCAGGAAACCCCTGCTGAGAAAGGAGCTGAGGACCTTAACAGCAGGGTTCTCCAACAAGGAAGAGAACTGATGACCTGGCTAAGTTTGGATATGTCCTGTGGATCCTACCAAGGACTTGTTCTTTTCTCAATGCAAATATGAACTCAGATATCTCATGCTTAGTACTGTTTCACAGGCATTATATGATTACGGTTTTGTGAGTGCTGGGAATTGAACCTGGGGCCTCAAGCATACATATTAGGCAAGTGTTTTGCTACTGAGCTATTTTACAGATAAGGAAACTGATGTAGAAAGGTCAAGTAATTTTCAGATCACTCAGCTAAATAATTGGTAAAATCAGCTTTTGAATTCAGTGAGATACCAGAGCGCCACTGGGCACTGTGTGCCACTTAGCCATGAGGTTGTATATACAGTGATGATTTCCTTCAGAAGTTTTTCTTATGTTTTCCACAGGGGTCCAAATTTTATAGAAATGAGCTTAAGAAGGAAAAGCAAGTCAACCAGCGGATTGAAAATATGATGCAACAGAAAGCTCAAATTACCCACCAGCAACTAAGGAAAGCACAATTACAGGTATTAATTTAGTTGTTAGGTTAGAAGATGGTAGACTAGTAATTGACAAGCAAAAATGCATCATCATCAAGTCCTAACTGCAAACAAGATGAACTGGAAGTGCTCATCATATCACTGAGCATATGTATTCAGCAAATACACCTATTTTGCTAAGCATTGTTCTACTTCTTTACTTAGAAATTTCACATTGAGGAGCTGGAGAGATGGCTCAGCAGTTAAGAACACTGGTTGTTCTTGCAGAAGACCCAGGTTCTAATCCCAGGACCTACATGGCAGCTAACAACTGTCTGTAACTCCAGTTCCAGGAGATCTGACAGCCTCTTCTGACTTCCGCGGGAACTACACAACACGGGTGTACTTACCTACATGCAGAAAATACATGCATACACATAAAATAAAAATAATAAAATTTGGAGGCTGGAGAAATGGCTCAGTGGTTAAGAGCACTAACTGCTCTTGCAGAGGACCCTGGTTCAATTCCCAGCACCTACATGGCGGCTACGAACTGTCCTCAACTCCAGTTCCAGGGGGATCTGAAGCCCTTTTCTGACCTCCGCGGCATTGCATGACATAGGTGCACTCACATACATGCAGGTAATACACTCATACATATAAAATAAAATTAAAATTAAAAATTAAAAAAATAAATAAAATTAAAAAAAATAAATTTCACATTGAAACATTGCCGTTTCCATTATAACAAAGAGTAAATGGAGTCTTCATTAATTTGCCCAGATTCAAAGGGCAGGTAATTGGCAGAACCCATATCCTATGAGTTCTTTTATTATATATACATCTTGTAGCTAGAAAAGGCCATTAGATAAATATGACTTGATTTGGGGTGAGGGAATATGTTAACCGGTTCAATAGAAAGTGAGCATGTTTTAATAAAATAAAAAGTTATGTTACGAGTTAAAATACCAAATGTACATGAATTTTTAAAATAAAACAATATTTCTAAAAGCTTAAAGTCTTTTGTGATCTTCAGAATTTGGGGAGAGCTGAGTGTGGTGGTACATCCCTGTCCCAAGCACCTGGGAGGCAGAGGCCAACCTGGTCTACATAGTGAGTTTCAGGCTAGCTGGGGTTAAAGGGAGACCCCATTTTCAAAAACAAACGAACAAACAAAAATCCATAATTTGGGAAGAATGAAGAACTCAGATGTCTCTGAGTTATTAAAAGTTATTTTAGTAGAAAAGTTTGGGAGGAACCAAGGTGCAAGACATCATGTGGGAGATTGACGACTCAAGGCAGTCACATTTCTGCTATTGAAACTAAAGTCATAGATGAGTTTACCTTCTATCAAAATCTGGTTCATTGTTAACAAAGCACTGAAGTACAGCATTATAATAAAATTTTGATATTAATCTTATATGCTACAAAGTCCTTTTATGTTAGAGTTCAGAGATTATACATTTTATTTCCTTTATCAAAATAATATTTTTAGATAAATGCTTTTCCAGAGTATTATTTTATTTTTGACTTTTTTGAGATAAGCTATCATACTTTGGTCTAAAGCAGGCCTGAAAATAACACTTTGTAGTCCAGTTGGCCTCAAACTCAAGGCAGTCCTCCTGTTTGCCTCCAAGTGCCAGGATTACAGGTGGCAGCAATTTTACCCAGTTAAAAGGTCATTTTAAAAAATTATTATTTTTATTTTAGGTATATGAATGTTATGCCTGCATGTATGTTAAATGTCCGTGGAGGTCAGAAGAGGGCATTGAATCCCCTGGAACTGGAGTTATGGGCAGTTGTTAGCCACGTGTGGGTGCTGGGAATCAAACCCAGGTCCTCTGCAAGAGCAGCCAGTGCTTTTAACTGCTGAGCCATCTCTCCAACCCCTAAAAAAGATAATTTTTTAAGTGGCCTGCTGTCTTCACAAAAGAGGACCTACCAGATCATCCTTTTTGCGGCGTCATTGCATTTCTCTTTGCAGAGATACCATAATTTTATGTCTCTTATTCAGCCTTGGTTTCACTTTTGTCTTAGGTACACCCTGTGGTGATATTATTGCTTTTCAGTTTTTGCACACTAGTAGTTATTTTCGTCAGTAATTCTAATTTACATATTCAAATGTAAGTATTGTGTTCTACAAATGCTTCTTTGGGGGCTGGTGAGATGGTTCAGTGGTTAAGAACACTGACAGTTCTTGCAGAAGACCCGGGTTCGAATCCCAGCACCCACATGGCAGCTAACCACTGTTCGTAACTCCAGTTCCAGGGGATCCAACAGCCTCTTCTGTCCTCCGCAGGCATTGCACGACACGGGTACACTTATCTACATGCAGACAATACATGCATACACATAAAATAAAAATAATAAAAAAAAAATTTTTTTTTTGGCCTTTTTGAGACAAGGTCTCCCTGTAGCCCCAGCTGTCCTGGAACTCACTATGTAGGCCAGGCTGGCCTTGAACTCACAGAGATCTGCCTGCCTCTGTCTCCCGAGTGGTGGGATTAAAGGTGTGCTCTACCACGCCCAGCTAATAAAATATTTTTTAAAAAATAAAAAAATGCAAATGCTTGTTTAAACTGGAGTTTATCCATTTTATTAATATTTTCAGTTTTGCTTATACAGTTTCCAAAATATCTAGTAGTTGTTTTAATTTGCTTTTATTATGTGAGAGGAAAAACACCCTCTTTTCACATACTAGCCATTATTTTTTCCTTATTATGGGAATTATTTTTTTATTATGTTTGTTAAGACAAAAGTTAAGTAGATGGCACAAGAAACCCTGAAATAAATTTTAAAGAAGAGTTTATTTCTTTTCTATATAATAAACAAGTAATCTCTTGCAGCATTTCTTTTCCTATGGAGAGAGAAACAAACATCTATTCATCCCAGAGAGCACTGATGACAGACCACAGAAACAATTCTATAGAAGTCCAATGTGATGGCCGGGTGTGGTGTACACTTTTAATTCCAGCACCTGGGAGGCAGAGGCAGGTGGATCTCTGTAAGTTCAAGCCCAGCCTGGTCTACATAGCGAGTTCTGAGTTCTAGGCCAGCTGAGGCTACAGGGAGACTCTGTCTCAAAAAGACCAAACAGAAAAAAAGAAGAACACCTCAAACAAACCAAAACCCTAACAAACCAAAAAAGAAATCCAGCTTGGTGAACTATTGAGGTTATTGGGCTTACTTACAGGAGCATAGGTGAGATGAGATGAATGACCCCAAAACAGCTGCATCACTAAAAAAATCCCACCCCAGCATAGGCTATGACCTCCTAAAGGCTGCAAAATGGAGTCTGCCTTTCAGTTACCCTTCCACCTCCTATGTAGCCTTTGAGCTCCCACCACCATATGTAGCTGGGCAGGAGTGTGTGTAGGTGGGGGATGGGGTATGCCGGAAATAGTGAGTATAATCTCAGGTGAGGGTCCAGCCACCCTCCTCCGACCCTTTTCAGGAGGAACTGTTAACAGGCTGGATCTTATGAGGGTGTCTTGTCAGTAATCGTAGCTCTTCTGATTTCAAGATGATAAAGATCACATGCCTAGAGTTCAACATTACTCTGGATCTGATTACGACAGCTGTGGTAATAACTTGTGTAATTTTAAGAGTCTTTTGGACTACCCTGACTAGCAACTCAAAGGGAGGTTTCTCCTGTGTGGTATTGTGTTTCTTGTTATGTAGTCTTCAGCTATACACGTGAACTCATATACAGACATTGTATGTATATTTTTCAGTACACATTTTGCACTAATACATTTCCTTCCATTTTTTTCACACGACCTAAGCATTATATATCTTTCCTCTCTCTCCCTTGTCTAACCTTCCTCCCTTCCCAGTTAAATTACCCCTATTTTCCTCATTTCCCCTTTGATAATACCTGTCTCCTATTATGCCCATCTCTGGAGCTCTTCTTCCCTTTACCCCCATATTTCCTTGTATAACCCTCTGTCCTCCTTTCCCAGTTAAATACCCCCATTTTCCTCATTTTGCCCTTGATAACACCAGTCTCCTGAGACACTGATTTCTTTAAATCATGTTGTACTCTCATTTAGTGTTATCACCGAACTGACAAAGCTAAATTATCTTTAATCCATATTCCATCTCTTGGTAAGGAACAGTAGGAAAAAAACAAAACCAAATAATTTGTTCTTAAACAAATGAGAAAGAAGCTACAAACATTACCTAAATTCATATTTGCGTTACCCTAATTATTGGTGATGTTGAACATCTTTTAAGATGTTTCATAGCCATCTTTACTTCTTTTGAGAACTCTCTGTTCAGCTCCTTAGCCCATCTTTTAATTGGGTTCCTTCTTGTCTTGGTTCTCTGTTTTTTGAGTTTGTTATATATCCTGGTTATTAAACCTCTGTCGAATGTGTCGCTGGTAAAGATTTTCTCCCATTCTGTGTGTTTTCTGTTTGCTTCCTTGGTTGCCTCCTTTGATGTACAGAAGCTTTTTAGTTTAATGAGGTCCCACATGTTAATTCTTGCCCTTGTTTCCTGAGCAATTGATGTCCGGTTTAGAAAATCCTTTCCTACACCTATATCTTACAGGTTTTTTTCAATGTTTTCTTCTAATAGTTTCAGAGTTTCAGGCTTTACTTTGAGGTCTTTGACCCATTTGGAATTGACTTTTGTGCAAGGTGAATGATATGGGTTTAGTTTCATTCTTCTACAGGTGGAGATCTAGTTTTGCCAGCACCATTTCCTGAACATGCTGTCTTTCCTCCAGTGAATATTCTTGGCCCCTTTGTCAAATATCAGGTGGCTGAAATTGCGTGGATTCATATTTCGGTCTTCAATTTTGTTCCACTGATCTATGGGTCTATTTTTGTGCCAGTACCATGTAATTTTTATGACTATAGCTCTGTAATACAGCTTAAAATCTGGTATAGTAATCCCCCCTGGCATTGCTCTTAGTGCTCAGTGTAGTTTTGGCTGTCTGAGGTCTTTTCTACTTCCATATGAAACAGGATGGTTTTTTACAATTCTGTGAAAAATGTCCTGGGGATTTTGATTGGCATTGCATTGAATCTATAAATGGCTTT